CTTTCTTTTGAAACGGGTTGTTGTATGATGACTTTATTCTCGAAATATTACGACTTTATTCTCAAAATAGAATGAGAAAGTCCTGAAAACTTCATCTGTGCAGTCAGTTCATCCAGATTACCATCCTGCCTTCAAATATTACTTCACCGTCGGAGCCATTCAGACCCCCACATACTGGCGGTGCGCTGTCACTGGGAATCCCGTTCAACAGCAGCCTCTGACCCGGTCGCATCTTCAGGGTTTGCCGCTACTGTTCACTTTCCAACTCGAGCAGCTGCTGCATGTGAAGTGCGTTGCACGCGTCAGATTCTCAGAAGCTCATGAAGCGCTGCTCCTGCTGCTCAAAACACAATGCGGGACCTTTTGATGCACCTTTATTCACCAACCATTGACTTTGCATGTAAACTGGTTCCTTCTGCTCCCTCTGCTGCTCGCGGAACTGAACGTAACATAAGAAAAAAGTGTCAGGAACTGTTTTGTGTAAAATACAACTTTAATTACATTGACTGATCATTTCCTGCTGCCTGGGTCAATAAGTCTTTAGCTCTTGGATTTGTTTCTCACGTTGAGTCCTGAAGGTTTCCTTTTGTCTCTTCAGGTTGAGGAAGGTGTGGCAGAAGAGAAAGTGTTCGGTTAAGAATGGCTTCCTAACCATCTGCCATGGCACGGTAAGACAAAGTGTCCTCTCCTCTCATTGGTTGTCCTGCATGACAAGCTCCCGCCCTCCTGCCTGCATGTCCAACCAGAGGTCTCCCCGTGGGTTTATCAACTTCATCCGCTGGGGAAAAAAAGAAATAGATGATTTTTAGTTTGGCCTCATATTTATTATTCCTTTTCCGTCTTCCTTCTTTTATTTTTAAAGTTTTTACATGGAGATTCAAGGGGCCGATCAGGACAGAGCAAGCGGAAAAGGAGGAGAAAAACAAGGCGAAGAAAAAGCATAAGGAAATGGATAAAAGAGAACAGGGTGGGAAAAGGAGTCTGGATTTAAATCCAACATGATTAGAGACGTTTGGGGAGGGGATGAATTCACAAAACCTCACTTTATTCAGTGTTTTACAGTTTTAATAAAGGAAAGGCTGATCAAACACTACTTTAAAGGTGTACAGCATTTACTTTTGTAAAATACCAATTCAACAGAACAACAAGCTGATAAATATGGTTTTCATTCAAATTCCTGTAACTGTTTTAACATCCTCAAAGGGTTTAAGGGTAAAATATTTCATGTTTGGATACATTGATGTTAGCAGCTTTAGCAAAAATACAAGTTTCTACTAATTTAGATAAGACTTCAAATTCCAGAG